GGGGGGGGGGGGAAGGGAAGGGAGAATCAAAAACAGCGTCAACGAACAAACAAAGCCCTGCAATTCCAATTATCGCTGAGGGTTATCAGAAAATATCTTCCGGGTTTGCACTGCCAGTATCTTCAGCACTCTTATCTGCGTTGTCCGCCTGCTCCATGGTCATGTGTGGACCACCGCTCATGGCGCTCAGGTTTTTTCGCCCCCCAACAAGTGGAGGGCCCTTTCAAAAGATGTTCTACTGGACCCACCTCCGAGCCACGCTGCAACAAACAAAGGCTGTCCAGTGTTCAGAGCTACATTCCAAGCATGACTAGTATGGTCTCCATCACAACCACTGCTAGTGAACAGCAGCATTAAACAGCACAACTCGCACTGCACTCTCGGGCTTGCAAGCTTGGCTCAGCCTTTTTGCCCGCAAGAGCGAAGGCCGAATACGTGGCGCAAGTCCACTAACTATGGAGTTCTCTATGGGTGGACTCCCAGATTTGACCTGCTTCCTTTCACACTAAAAAAGATCAAGGCACATGGCATGGGGAGGCCTCAACCTCCGTCAGCACAAGCCAGAGGAACCGAATGCAACTCGGCCTTGAAGCCTGAAACCCCCGAACGAAAGCGTAACATATGTCCGAACTTTGCAAAATGTTGAGGAAAACTTGCGGAAACGCCCACAGCAGAACTCCATGACTCTGCACCTGTGGCTACCTTCGCAGCCTTCCGAGCTCCGTTGGGAACAAAACCGGTGAACGGAAGGGGGGGCCACATGGCTGGGTTGCCGAAGAGTTTCCACGGTTTTGGAAGGAATGTCGCTCTTTTGGAAGCCTCAGGGAAGCTTTTTGTGGGCTTTCAGAGTCTTTCAGGGTCAGGCCTTTGAGGAATTGTCGGCAACACAGATTTACGGCAGCACCTTTTTTAAAGTGGCGCTGCTACTATGTCCATTGCTTCCGAAAGCATCTCTTCTACGCAAGACGGCCGCGGCTAAACTGAGCCTTTGCTGACAGTACGTATATACTCATGCGTGTGGGCATGTGCTTCTGCTTGTGTGCATGCACTTAATTAAAGTGTTTAGTGTTGCTGTGAAGAAGCTTCCAATTCGCACACGTGTTCCGTGTTCCGTAAGGGTGATTGCAAGGTGTTTTTTGCTGCCGCCCGCCTAGCTGAACTGAATGTCCACATTGCAGGGAATTGGCATTTAAGGTGTGGAAGCTTTGTTGACGAGTTCGGCTTTGCGCGTTACTGCATGTTGTCCTGTTCGGCTTTCCGCTCCTGATTGTAGTTTTTTCTCTTCATCCTGGCCGTCCGCTATGTCGTCAGCATGGTCGTGCGAATCTGCCAGCATGGACTGATGATTCATATTTAGTGTGCATGTGGTGTGGGTTCTGTGTGGTTCAGCATACTGCGGCTGCTGCAGCTGAGACACAGAAGTCTAGCGACATCTCGGCACTGACTTGCTGAACAAGACAAGACATGAACTGTATCCTATCGCTAAATTGTCCGGCATGAACGTGATTCACCAAGCGGTGCAAAACCTTCATGGAAAATGCTTCCTACACAAAGCCTCTTGGAGAGGTGGTTCTGGCCAAAAGTGTCGCAGACTCTGTGTGAAAACTTGGCATGCTGCCTCGGACCTACCACATGATGCACCACTTTTCTAAATGGGCTTCGCATGCAGTCTGGACCTGGGAGTGTCTCCCTTCCTTGGGAACATTGCGGGAGCAGTTGACGGTTTGGATCCGTCCTGAGTACAGTACTGTGAAATTGTGAAAGTCACTGTAGCATGATTACGACCCAATATTGCAGGAGATTGGGGCTTAGAACCTCATTGACCGGAAACTTAGGCTCACAGGAAACTTAGAGAACTAGACCCCTTCACAGTACATCACGTAGTTCTTCCATGCACTTCTTACGCTGCACTGCGCCCCCAGGTCGAAACAAAGATCTCTGCGCGAAGCGTGATTAATCCCCCTAACGAAAATGACCTGAGCCCTTTAACACGCGAACACACCCTAAACTTGGCAAACCTCAAAAGCAAGGGCCGTGCCCTCAGCTCAGTGAGGCGCACTCCGCCTCTTCGCAAGGGAGGTGGTGCGGAAATTTAAAGCCCACAACGTGGGAAACAGTCAGCAAAGGGTAGCATGGCTTGCAGCTGATCAGAAAGGCAATTTATCTTAAGCTCGAGCTGCAGATTCCCAAGCTGTTTGCGAGACTTTGGTCGAGAGTTGCGGATGCTTCCTAGTAGTACCTGTAGTGACTGTAGTGCCTATGCAATATGTCCATTCAGACAAGGTTGCATCAAGTGAGCTTTTCATGACTGCTTGCATGTGCGATGCCAGTGCGGGTGCATGGAATACCGTCGACATGTGTATACTGCATTTAGGAGCCGTGCCACAAACTTACTATCGAACCCGGTAGCTTGCTGACTTGTTGGTTACTTTGACAGCTCTACAAACCCAGCACACATCCTGTCCTCCACATGCCCGTGGTCGTGATTGGCTAAGAGCCGCTCCTGTGCAATCTTGTTGACAAGGAACAGCTCTCGGCACAGTCCCAAGGTAAATGGTCACCAGGCAACAAGGGTTTTTTTCAATCACATCATCCTGCACGTGAAGAGGTGACCCCAGAAGTCACATCAACACGAATTTCATGTCAATCCCAAGCGATTCCGCACGCATGTCGAAACTAAATTGGTTTATTGGGTCGAACCAAGCCTGCCACCTCCAACACTCGAAATCCGCGTGCCAAGATGACAGTGATGACAGGTGGCCCTGTGTTCTCGGACTGGCGAGAAGCCAGTGTGTGTGTGTGTGTGTGTGTGTGAATGCTCCGGGCGCACTATTATGACACAGTAGGATTGCACGAATGCACGCTCGGAAGTTCGGAAGCATGTCCTCAGCCGCCTTAGTTTTTGTTTGCCCACATGGGTTCGTCCATTTAAGTGTTAGGAATCCTCAGTAGAATATTCCTCATGATGGAGGTCTGTCAAAATCTCAGCCTGGCCCTTGTCGATCGTCATGTGCATCACGGGGACCAGTTGGCATTTGTGGTAAGTCTCTGGATTCCACAGAAGTCCCACTCCGCCCTTATGCCACAAGCGTATCTTTGGATTCCAGGCTTGGGGCTTGGGCGCTTGGGATTGGAGTTTCCTGTGGCGGGTTAAGCCACTGGCCACATCGTGAGGAGGATGTACATGCTGCTGAGGTCGGCACCCAGTACCGTGGTCGCTGGCGCGGCTCGTCGTTCTCGAGAACCTCACCGACAGAACCTTGCAACCTCACTCCTCGACATGCGTACCATGCTGAAAGGCCCGATTGGTTCTTCAGTCATGTGCCGCATACTTTAACCACTTTTACCGAACGTCTGAAGCCCGGAGCACCTGGTCCTCAGGCAGCTTGATGGTTGCCATCGACTCCTCTGCTTGGGGCCTGGGGCGATGCGCGATGTGGCGGACACCGGCCCTTGCCAGGTCTGTCAAGGCACTGCATGCACAGACAGACACACAAGGAGATTTTGAGAAGCTCGTAGACAAGAGATGTGCACCAAAAAACTCCAGGCCCACCCCCCCTCCTAGTCTTCGCATCTTTCTCGCAGTAGCTTGTGAATCCCGCCAGCATGGGTCTGGAAGTTGGGTGTTGCGATGGCGGTCACAAGGCTGCTAAATCTGGTCCTCAGAGCTGATTCACGTTAAGCTGTCACACGCTGCGTCTTCCAGGTTAGCGGGAAACGCAGCGAGAAAAGCTACTGCTTTTCGCAAAAAGTGGCCTTCTGCAAGAAGTTCAAACTCCGCACACAACGTTGCGAGAAAAGCCAGCTTCTCGAGAAGTGGCAATTTGAACAGGGCACAACGCCGCGAGAAAAGTCAGTTTTCGCAAAAAGTTGCTTTTCAAGAAATGTGGCTTTTCGAGAGAAGTGGCATTTCTAAAAGCTTGCGCACGCAACGCCGTGGGAACAGTCGCTTTTTTCGGGACAATTTACCCGCAGCATCAAAGACACCCCACATGACAGCACAGGATTCGTGAGGAAGCCAACTCTTAACCCCTAACAAGCCAAGAAGCCCATAGCGAAGAACAAGGTGGATCCGGGGCGGGGGGGGGGAGGCGGCGAACCGCAAACCTTGATGCTCGATCCCCTATCCTCCGTCCATACCTCAAGCACGTGCTGAAACAGCACGTTTCTGCACAACATTTAAGAGGCTTGTGGTCAGCTCACACACACACAATTCGCATAGAGGTGGAACTGCTTTTGCGCCCTTGAATGCTTTCAGTGCGCAGTAAGACTTACGTAGCACGCCTTTGCAACCAGCATGCGCATCAAGGAGTGTAGAAGCAGAGCACACACGCAAGCCTGGTAGCCACTGAGATTTGCTGAGACACCCCACGTGTTCAAGAAGGCAACCATTCTAACCACGACGTTGCACCAACTCCGCAGCACCATCCTCTCCTGTGGAGGCATGCTCTTTCTCCTAGTTAATTGTCCAGTACTTAGGGGAACTAAAGGCATTATGAGGGATTCTAAAAACCCCAAAAAGTTAAGGTTACCTTCTCTACAACTAAGTTCTTGTGAACTGGCTCAAGCCTCAAATCCACTGCCAGTTTTCCGAGTCTGGTTTGCATCGGATCAATCATCCTAGCAAAGCACCAGACATGATCGTGAGCAAGACAACTCATACAGCAAAAGTGGATGGCAAGGATTCGGGACGGAACAATCACACGCCGAACGCAAGTCGAAGTTCGAACAGAGTGCGGCTCCTCCCTCCGCACTATGGTGGCATGTCCTTAGCCAAGCGAAGGCAGTCGCTGCGCAAAAAATCGAATCTGCAGGCTCCAATACACCTCTGGGCATCCAGCGCTGGTTGATGCTGAAGCTGTTCTTACCTTTCACACGCTGGACTACATCAGGCTCAGAGGCTTCTAAAGGCAGGGGATGGGTGGGTCGAGGCTCACTGGCCAAGGTGCGGTCATCTTCGGCCAGGAGCCGGTCGTCCTGCACCAGCTGACACCCCAGTACAAAGGTCTACAGTAGGCCTAGGGCAGCAGCAAGGACCTGAAAGCTTGGTGGTGATACTCGATATGCCGATATGCGTGCAAACGTGTCCTCAGAGATGGTCCCCACATGCTGCGCCTCTACATACATCCGGGGGCACGCACGGCTGCTTCTGATGAGTCGAGCTTAGAGAGATGTTGGGCGTTGCAAAAGTATCGGTCTGCAAAATGAGGATTGCATGCAGCATCACTTGAGTTCCTTTAACCAGAAGAAAGCAAAGAATGGCAGCAAAAACAAAAATAACATGAACCCTTGCAGGCTCCTGCAGCCTGGCATGATACAGGAAAGCCATGAGTGCTTCAGTTTGCTAAGGCCAATTCGATTAGCCAGACATGCTGTGCCGACATGTCTATCTTCTCCGAATTTCAGCCACCACGCTCCAAACTCTGCACGGCTGTCTGTTAGAAGGCTCTGCTGTGCATGGCGTTGAACGGCTCTTAGGATGGCACAACGCGGGCCAAGGTCTGCTTCTTGACGAACTCCCAGGCTGCACGCTCGCTAGACGCGGACCTGGCCCAGCAGCTTTTGGTAGTGGCAATGGGTTTCGCCTCTCACACTCGCACAAGGCCGGCAAGGCATCGGTTGGTAGGTCCATAACTGTGGTGACACTGTGTTGGCAATGGGTTTAGGGTTTAGGGTTTAGGGCCATGCCATCTGGTGTCTTGCGTCGCTCTCTAAACACCTGAGAATGCCTGCCTGCCCGTGGCATACACACGTGTTGGCACAAACCGCCATGTTGGACATGTACGACAATACCACAAGTGCATGTTGGTTAATGGCACCTGCCTTTTGGCAGAGGCTCGCGCGGCTCGCTATGTCTCGCTCAAGCTGCGAAGACTTGCAAGATCTAAGTCCGAAGTCGCCTAAATAATCCCCGGGCACGACTTAAGAATTGCCATTACCCCCTTGAATATGACTGGAAAGACCGGAATCCTTCAGCAGCTCAACGCTCGAATCAGCCCAGAACCCTCCAGAAACACACACAGTGAAGACGCCAGGCCCGCAGAGGAACTCTACAGAGTGGAGGCTGGACTTTCACGTCGCAAACCTGCAAGGCGGCTGAGCACCGTGAGGCTTATCCTGGCAGTCTCATGAGAAGTATGAAGTGCCAGCAGCAGTACCAGCAGCAGCTCTTCACACAAGCCGAGGTTCCGGCTACAGCCACGGCCTCTCAAGTCTTCTTAGTACTTGTGTTGACATAACAAGACAGCGTCCCCGACAAGAACGCACTGTGAAATCATCTGGCAATAACCACACGTCGCCTTTCTCAGAAGTAACTTGCTCACGCAACACCGTCGCAGAAATCCGCTATGCTTTCTAAAGTGCGCATTGCATAATTGGATGTGTACTGCAAGGCGTGGCGAAAACACATCAACATGTGCAGAATTTCATGATGTCCATCAGGAAGCCAGGCTTCTCAAGAACAGCATGTCAAACGCACACAACCGCTCAATGGACGATGAATGCATGCGATCATTCAAGCAGTTGCTGCGGATATCGCACTGCCAACCACATCCTCGAAGCCTAATCCGAGCAGCCATCACAGACCCTGAGCAGCCCCGACCCCAGAAGGTCTAGAAGTGATAGCACGTAGAACTCTCCAGGTTTTCATGCACCCCCTTCTGCAACGAACAGGCAACCTCCTGGGCAGCGTGATGCCTTGGACAGGCACTTCGGATCGAGACTAGAAGCTGTTGCGGCAGCGTTGAGGGAGTAGGGTATGCTTGAGGGGCTGTTAGGGACATCTTCGGGGCTCCAGATGGCTGGCAGTCTTACCGGGGAATTGGGAGACGATTCTGTGTAGAAACATGTCCGGACTCTTGGCCCGCTGTCGGGCAGGCTGAGCTAACCTCGAGATTGCTGCATGAAATGGCCCCTCCCACCCTAACCCTCCAAAGTTTAGAGCGCTGTGCTGCATAGCGGCAGGAATTTGTCCCCTCGATTCACGTGGGCGCCGTCGAGCAGAGACGGATCCTAGCATCAGCAAGTCTCGACTCACTAAGATATTGTAGCATTATGAGAATATAGATGATATTGTGATATGGGTATATTATAACATACTATAAATACTATATGATGATATTATTAGTACATTATTGTATTGATATATTGCTTTATTGTTATATGGCCATGTTTTGCTATCTTCTGATACCCTTCAGGGGCGTCCTAAACCTGCGGGCCATGCCCCAGGTCTACTTGGGGGTCACTTGTGGGGACGAGGTTGTGCCAGGTTGTGCCATTCTGTGCTACAAGGGGCTCCGGCTCGCAACAACGGGCTCCTGCGCCAGTCTATCTTCAAAGCTGACGACATCTTCCTGCACGAAAGCATTCGCAAGATCACATGGACACTTCTCTACGTTATGATCCCTTTTTGGGTGCCCTCGATATTCGGGGCAGCCTTAAAATAGTAACCCCAAAAGGGACTATGATTTAGAGAACTGACCACATGTGTGTGCCAGATCCTGGAGAACAGCATGAGCGGCGGGGAGGCGAGATTCCAATTAAACCAACTGATCACCCACCCCCAAGTCCTTCCTCAACCTTAACAAACCACATGTTTGGAGCGAAAGAAACGCTGTGTGACAAGCGCACTCCTACCTGAATGTCGCATTAGGCAAATGGATAAATGGATAGTGCAGCCTGCGAACGTGCTTTTGAAGCTGTCTTTCCATTCTCGAACTAGTCTTACTAGTAAGCAAACTCGGCGATCATTCCCTTGTAGGTTGCTCAATGTCAGCCTGCGGATCTGAAGGCACCCCTTCATTTGCGGCAAATAGACATGCGTATTCCAACACGAACTCAGTAAGGCCTCTGTCGCCACAAGGAATCTGGCCGCTCCAATGGCAACATGAGGTGTGGACTTGCCTGAGAGGAGGGACACATGTGGATTGACCCAAGTTGACCCAAGAGCCAGCCTTTTGTTTTGTTCGCTGCAAGGCAGTTTCCTTTGTCCCCGCTCCCAAGCTTGGGCGACGGCGGCTTGGACAAGCAGGCAAGGCAAATCGGTATGAATGAGGCAGATACCTCACAGACTCCACAAAAACATCACTGAATGCTGCAGGTACTTTTGGCCCCACAAATCGGAGGACACTGCCAATCTACCGGCCTGGATTTCCAGGTTGGGAAATCCGTCGGGAGGGGCAGCTCGATCATGGTGTACTGGGCACAAAGCCTCAAGCCAAAGCCCGCAAAATGACCAAGCTTTGATTCCAAACAGATCCATGCTCGGTGTGCGGCGTTACGTCGCTCCACCGCTGAGGCATGGTGAAGCCGTGGTAAAGCAAGTAGTCTGCCTGATAAATTTAACTCGGAAGCCACAAAATGCCTCGCTGGGACTTGTGCGAAGACGGCAAGTGTTCCGAATGGCAATGCCAAGCTGTGCTTTCTGCCTGAGTTTGCCTGAGACCCACGCATTGGACCGGACACCATAGCCCACAGTCACCGCCTGGGCTGGAGAAGAATGCCATGCCTCCGATATATTTTCAGCATACCACGTCGGCGCATTACGGCATGCACATTCGTCAGCGTAGATTCGGCTATCGCAGTCTAGCTCAGAGCCGGGCCGAGTTGGCTGGCAGTTCCTCCTTGGCCTTCAGAGTTACTGCCGCAGAGTCGGCATCCTCAGAATGTAGTAGCTCCAGTCAGGTCTAGCACGACTTTTGGTGCTGGCTTTAGATGGTCTGCCTGAGCTCCAGACGTACGAAATATTTGTTCGTGACCCTCTCTCCTGTCATCACAGGTATGACAATTCGGGCGAACAGCAGCCGGTTGCCACCAGCTTGGCAACCTCAATTCTGAATCGAACAGGGTCGTGCCCCTGCATCTTAAAACGCGTGAATCATGTGAGTGTAAGTCAATCGGACACACCTGGAACTTGGTCAGGTCGTCGTAGGAGTGCAAGGCTTCCCTGCGCTCAAGTGGCACATGACTCAGTACAAAACTACAAGTCGCTTTGGGGAGTCATGCGTGATGTTTTTAGACAAACGCTCCTCTCGTACAACCAAAAATCTCTATTTAGGGTGCATGGGGCCTCCAAGTCTATGGCTCGATATGGTGCATTTGGGTGAGGTAGGTGAGTCATACAAGCCATCACCCGCCGTGACAACTTTCCGATCGCCACTGAACGTCTCCAGTGCTGCTAGGGAGCTCTGGCATTGGCAGATGGTGATCCACCAAATCAATGAGAGGCCTCTGGGTTCTGGCATTGCACATCTGGACATGCCCACCCCAGATTCCATCCGCTGCAATCTGAGGCAACCGGCATGATTGCCAGCTGCGGAGTCGTTTGACCTAAGGGCAACGGCCCTAAAAGTACAACTGTCTGTTTTCTCTCTGGATATGGGTTGTGCATCACATACAATATAACATATATACATATGTATATATATATATAAATACATGCTACCCCTCCCCCTCTCCCCCCCATAATGTGTCGGCGTTCCGCACGTCTAAAACTTAAGTGGTAAAGAGAGGGACACTGAACATCGCGAAAACTACAGACACCAGGGAGCCAGAGACTCTTCACTTCCTTCGTGTCTGTTTCAAAAGAGCCGCTTTAAACTTGTTTCGGAATCATGAATGGACAAGCCGAAGACCCTCGTCTGCAATCTAGAAGAAGCTCGGTTGCAGACAGTACCAGTATCGAAGTATGTCAGCTTCAAACACTTGGAAGAGAAAACAAAAAACACCTGTGTGCATTTTTGCTTTTTCGTATAAACGAGAGCCCTTCGAAAAATAAATCTGGGTAACAATGAATGAACACATTGCACATCTTCTTTCCTGCCTCGCTGTCTTTTTCTAAACGTTGAAGGAGGATGTCAGTAGTGTTACAAGAAGCACAGCTAGCAGAGGCAGGCTCTTGCGGCTATTTTTTCAAGCTTGAAAGGAAGTCGCCCCCCCTCCCCCCTCCCCCCTCCCCCCTCCCCCCCCTTCCCCAGTTATCGACCTTTTTTGGGGTTCCGGACCTGGGTTTTGCATGCAAATGAGCCAGGTGTGGTTCTTCTGGATTCCTGGGTTACCTCCCATGGCTCTCCCTCCCCTGGCCTCACTTTATTCCTTTCATTATATTGGCCAAGCCCCAAAGCAGGGTGATCCCATCTTAGTCCCTACATTTTAGTGCTCCCCACTGGGCATAGATCTTATTCACTAAATCCTAAGCGAATAAGAAGGGGTCCCGCTCTTTAGGATGTAGCGGAAAGGGCTCAGGGAACAGATTCCTCCCTTGGCTAAAGAAAACGTTTATATTTTATTCCCCTAAATTATAAAGTATAAAGGCTAAATCGCGTTGGCCAAACCCTAAACGGGATCCCACCCAAACCTTAGTCCTAATCCTCCTCTCAGAATCTTAAGAAAAGGGATCCCTGAACCCTAAAGAGGAGTTTTCAGTTGCTCCCCCTCCTCCGGCGCTCAAATCTTATTCATTAAATCCTGAAAACCTTGGACTTAAAAAAGTGGATTTTGGGGGCAAGACTTAGGGAAGGTTTAGAGCCCCGAAAAAAATTAGGGTGGGGAGGGGGTCATATCATATCTGCCATTACCATTCTTGGAATCGGCCCACTACTGCCCGAATTGGGGCCTAAATCTTATGCGCGAAATCCTACTCGAACAGTGGCCAGGGGAAGAGGATTTTTTGGGTCTAAGGGACCTCCTCTTTGGGATTTTAGGAAGCCTAGTTGGGGCTTGGGGAACAGCCCGGAATCCTGACATGCGCGCACGCGAGCCTCAAGTGGGAATGCTTGTTTATGTTATAGATACCATCACTGTGAAATTAAAGAAAACCTTTACAGAACCCAGACCGGTTAGATCTAACCGGATCCGATTAGATCTAACCGGGCCTCTGGCTTGAAGATTTAAGATCTCCCAGAATCTTCCAGGGAATCTTCAATCTTCAAAGCAGGGGCCCGGTTAGATTTAATCGGATCCGGTTAAATCTAATCGGCCATGGGTTTCACTGGGGTTTCAAGATAGTCGTTATATTTGGTTGCTTGAAATAGCATGGCCCGATGCATAACAGATATAAAACAGACATGAAAACAAAGATAAAAATGTACTACACGCGTAAAGGCAGTTCCCCCCCCCCCCCCCCGTTGCCCCCCCGCCCAACAAAGGTATTTCACTGGGGGGGGGGGGAGGTACCATACACATATATATATATATATATATATATATAAATATAAAATATAGACATAATACCATATCAGATGAAAATGTTGTATCATGTTGAATTAAAATATCTTTTGCTATATTGTCTTATGGATGTTCTACTAAATCAACATCTAAATAACTATATACATAATATAATATGACGGGGCATATCGCTGAGTGCGAGCGCGCGGCTCTTGTTGTCACGATCAGGAAGGCTGACGGTCTCCCCTCGGGACATGACCACCATGGCCCACTTCTTGAACCTTAGAACTCGAACATGCAGTGAACGCGTTCCGTGTGGGCAGCTATGAAGCGGAATCCGAAGCCAGAGCCCCTGCTCTTGCTGTGCCCACACACCCCCGTCTGCATTTTGCGCCCGCTCCACTTTCCGCCAACTCTTTGAGCTGCTTGATGTGCTGGCCCAATGCAATGTCGTTCAGAATCCAGGGAAGCTCCTCAGTTTTCACGGCACGGGATGGGATGGGGTGCAACGGGACATTGCCAACATTCGAACACAAGAGTTAAGTTAAGCTCAGGATCTTTGTCGACTACACCTTCCGGGATGACGCCAGAGAGCTGCTTCTTCACTTTGGCCGAGATGCTTGTCAAGTTCGATCTCGGTGGGCATGCAAAACTCATCCCAACATGAGCAGGGCAGGCCTGAAGCAGTTGAGGAATGCTTCTCTCTTCTGCTAAGGTGCTGCTCTGGTGGTACTGCCGATGGTCTAGGTGATGTGGTTGAAATCAGACTGGTGGAAGCTCCTGTCCAGTTCTGCATCTTTCAAAGCAACGTACCGCCAGCGGTTTGAAGCGGCCTGCACTGTCTTTGGGCAGCACGTCAATGTCGATCTTAAACAGCGACGCGCATGCCATGCGCAGGAAGTCTCCGTGAGCCTCTCAGCGCCGGTTTCATTAGGCGCGGGCGAAAGGTTGTCCAGGCATGGCCGAAACAGGGGTCAGCACAAACATCATCAGATCTCTGCAAGAAACACCTTAGGCCTTGGCCTGAGCGCAGCCCAGGCAAGGCAAACATCCAAGACTGTACCCTCAAAAGCCCTGGCATCGTCAATCCTGTGCACCAGCTTGCACAAACAAGCACCGCAGCCACCTGAGACGTTGTGGCTGCACCGTTTTGAAGGGCCTCACAGCGCCGGCGCCTTCAGCAAAGGTAGGGCATGCCCCAAATGCCGCGTATGCATCAAAGGTTTCCAGACCCCCCCGTGCCTCAAGGGCTCATGGCGGTCTAGGTCCTTGCGAATCCAAGCGCTTTCGTCGGGCAGCGAAGCCACCGGTGAGGAAGATGAAGAAGGGCCACCAGAACCACCAGAAGGGCGGCTTCGTGGCTCGGCTTGCAAGGGGTCCTTCGATGGGTTTTGGAGATGCTCAGGACGCATTAGCGTCAATAACTATCAGGAGCCCGAGGGTGACTTCTTTTGAAACTCTTCGGGGTCAAGACCCGCAACCCCATGCCTCATATCCTGACAAATGATGCGGAGGCGGCCTTGGGCAACTTGGGGAGCTCCAACTCCTTCGGAGGTAGTGCATCTGCAGCATCTGCTGCCTGCAAAGTGGCTCGGATTCTGTTCAAGGGCCTTGGGGATTGTGGAAGCTTTGCCACATGTTCCCACAACAGCTTTGGCATCGGGATGGGTCGCATTACGTGAATGGCACCTTCGTCACCTTGGCTGCCTTCACAGCTTTGGCGGCCCGCAGCCTCTCTGTCTCCTTACCACAGGACTGGGGAATGAGCAGCTCTTCCTTGAGCGTCTCACCGCGACTGAATGACTTGGAGTGCAGAGCTTCTTCAGAGCTTCTTCTGTGGGTTGGTCAAGGAGATGTCAGGAGTTCAGAACGGTTCAGAACAGGCAAAACAAGCACGACATGCATCAGCAAAAGAACGATGCGCAACAGAGTCTCCTTCTCGATCCAGAGCCGCTCCCGGCGCTCGCGCTCTGCCATGTCCGTGGGAGGCCCCCCGGCGCGCTGCCGCCGGGCCTTCGTCAGGGTCAGCTGCCGGATTCTGCAGAGATGTGAGAGGAGTCGCGGTGTGCGCAAACAGGAAGATCCGGAAGGTGGAGAGTTGAGACAGGCGGAGCCAGTGCAACTTGTCCCTGCTTGCAAAAAGCAGCACTCTTCACTAGTCCTGTCATGACATGCAGGGGTCGAAGCCTGCCAACATGAAGGGTTCTGGAGGCAGTTTTTTGAACCACAAGTGTCCCGCATCCCTTTAGTGTGTTTCACCGGGGATAATGCTCGGAAGCCTCCGTCAGGATAGAAGAAGCTTCCTTCGGCAGCATCGGCTGCGGAGCTCCAGGTGATGGGGCATTCAGCCGGCGCGGTGCGTGCAGTTCCTAAGCATGCGTTGCCCGAACACAGCGGTAACTGCCCACAGATTCCTGCTGATTTGCGGCCTTTCTGGCAACGACAAAGCAGCCTTGGGCTGAAGCACTTCCAACCCTGCCAACCTTTTAAAAGCCCGGTCGCGACGTCCCGGCGGATCCATTCCAGTTCACGCTGCCATCGTTCCGCATTGGTCTTGGGCTTGACCCTCGCAGGAATGCTTCTCCGGTCTCCAGGGTTCAGCCAAGGTTGCAGACATTGGCCATATTTCTGCTACGACTTAAGCACCCTACCAAGTTTCTAGTATGTCTTCAATTTTATATACTTTTAAGGCTTTAAGGATAAGCGTTTCGTGCAGGCAAAGGTCTCACCATCGTTTCAATGAACATTTTGTTGTTACCAGCACATCCTTCCATCAGAGCATCCATGCTTGAACAGTGACGTCTGCATCCGCCCACCAGAGTGTCCATGCTCGAACGATCTGACCTCCATACCCGCTAATGTCCATGCTAATTGCCAGGCCGTCCGAGAGGAAAGCATTCATGCCCGCACGATGATAACATCCATGCTACCGGGGCATCTATAAAAACGCTGCCGTTTACGACGCGAATTCCCGAAAGGTGCATCGCGAAGCGCAGTTATCATCAAGGCGATCCAACAAACTGGCAAAGTCGCGTCAGCCCCCATCACCTAACACTGTTCTGAAGCTGAAGCCGGCCGGAGGCCTGGGTTTGGTAGACACGGGCGTGGCACGGATCCGACGCACAGCCGCCTCCACGTCCTGTACAGGATTTGAACAACAGCAGCCTACAAACATCCACGGGCAGCCTACGGGGCTTCGATGGGGTGTGACTTCTTGGCCTTTCAGGGCTGCTCGTGAAATCCTTCTGGAACATCGTTTTCGGCTCAAAGCCCCGTCCTTTTGAAGCCACTCCCTATCCTTGGTGCCAGGTCTGAAGAGTGAACCTGGTGGTTTGGCCCTGTCATGTGACGGCTGAAGCGGTCGGGGTCGGGCATTTGGGGGTGCTCGGCTGGGAGCCGGAGGTTGAGATGGTGCAGTTTCCAGCTCCTCCTGCTGCATCTTTGGCACGCGGGTGGTGGTGCTGGTGTCGGGCATGGTGGTTTTGGTGGTTTTGGCGCTTTTGGTTCTTTTGGTGCTGGTGGTGCTGGTGGTGCTGACCATGGAAGCTTCTGGCATCTGAACGGTCGACGCGCCCAATCCTCCTGCATGTTCCGACTCATTCACTAAGTCGAAATACTGCGGCAGAAGCCTCAAACGTGTGGCCATATCGATGGCGGAAAGGTCCTCCGGAAGCACTTCGAAGGACCGCTGTGCGAGAAGGGGGCCGCGGCGCAGGTGCACAGACACGGTGTAACTGCCCGGTGGAAGGGCGGACCCCAAGTAGCGCTCCCACATGGAGCCTGCCCTAGTCCTCTGGCCACCCCCGCGGTACCGCACCGTGCCCTGTGCATCTACCCAGCGGATCTCCAATGGCTCGAACCACGGGTGCTCCGGCTGCTCCTGTTTGTCCACCTTGCGGCGTCTTGCAGATCTTGCTCACGGGATCGCACAGGAGGAGACTCAAACACAACTCACGTTTGGAGTGACGAGCCGCCCTGTGTTCTTTACCTGTCCCAGCCAGGCTGCGAGCACCAGCGGGATCAGCACTGCCCAGAGGTCGCGCACAGCCGCTACCGGGATCAGTGAGGCAAAGCCGTGAAAGAGGAACTGGTCCTCACATGGAACCGATTGTCATAATCAACACAACCGAAACTTCAGCAGCCTTCTGCAAGTGACCGAGTCTCCCCATCCCAGCCAGTGCCAACCCGGAAGACGTGAGGAAACGAAGCACCATAGCAGCGGAGCCCGGACCTGAGCCATCACCCATCGTTTGAGAGGCTCTTGATTCTTGACTGCTCGGGTTCCGTGTTCCAAAACAAAAGCGAGAATCATCGACACTCTTAGCTCGAAGAACCGACACCGGCAGCAGTAGCGGGTTTAGCTTGGGCTCAACGCGTCAGTAGCGGGATAGATGCTGTTCATGCCCGCGCGCATGCGTGGATGTGCATCATGAGCATCATTGGGGCTTTACTACGGTTACCTTGCGAACACGGGCAGCTTGAACAGTCATGTGTGCATCTCTACATTCCATACAACCATCATGAGGGTATGTAGCGGCTTGGGGACAGAACGCCCGCTGCCCACATCGCTCCCCCCGCTCCCCCCCGTTCCCCCTCGTCGCCCTTCAGCTCGACCCTCAAAACCCTCACCTGGGGTTTGAAGTGCTTTAAGGGCTCTAGTGCATGCCCAAAGCCCCGCTAAGAGCTCCCCCCGCTCCTGCTCACTGCTCGTTGAGGCGGGGTGTGTTGCGGGATTTGTCAGGGCTTAGCGCGCGCCTGGACGCAGCTGCATCCGGTGGGAAGGGATCCGCAATGAAGAACCGCTCCATCAGAAAGATTTCTGCATCAATGCGACAATCATGGAGCTGGAGTCCTGGCAGATGTATGGCTTTTCTATCCCTTGCTCTGGCAGCAAGGCATCCAGTACCCTTTGATATCTTATGCTGCCACATCCTGCGTGTCTCTCCAACCTCCTCGTACCCTTGAAGCCTTATCAGCCTTATCTGGCGCATTGGCAACCAAGAGTCCTTTGACAGCCCCCTGGATCTCACACATGCCATCAGCCGGCGAAAAGCTGACCTCGAAGGGGTTTCAAACTTCAGGCGAACCCGAACCCCAAGACCTTCTCGAGTAAAAAGAACCCTTCGAGTGCACAGCTAAAGAAGGGTAGGTAGGGTCACCTGCACCAAGCAAACTTACAGGCTTTGATTGGACGGAAGGCTTGTGCGCGCCCCTTCGCACGAAGAGTCCCATGACCTGACAAGAACCCCACACAGCTCCCACCAACCGTCCCTGCACACCA